AGGGAGGGAGGGAGGGAGGGAGGGAGGAAAAGAAGGGAGGAAGGGAGGGACATACACACACACACACACAGAAAACACTAAATATATTTGGAAATGTAATATGTACTTATAGGGCTAAGGAGATGACTGCTAACCTTGACAACATGAATTTAATCCCCAGAACCACAGGTTGACCTCTGACTTTTATATGTACATGATGGCATAGGCACCACACACAAACACACACACACACACACACACACACACACACACACACACACACACAAACCCTTGCCAGGCTTTTCAATGTGCAAGTTGAGGGGAAGGAGTCACTTTAGAGACAAGTGGCTGCTGTGGAAGGTAAAGGAGATGGTTCATCATAGGATAAAAAGAGGCTAGGAATATATAATTTATCTCTGCACTAGAATGTTACTCTTAACAATTCTTTTTAAAAGAATTATTTATTACTCAGTATTATTATACAGTATTATCATACAGTATGTGTGCTCATGTGACTGTGTGTGTGTGTGTGTGTACACTCATTTCACAGCATGTGTATGGAGGTCAGAATATAATTTATAGGAGACAGTTTTTCCTTCCACCACATGGTTCCAGGTTCTCAGGTTATGAGACTTCTGTGGCAAATGCTGAGAAATTGCTATCCTCAACATTTTAACTTTTTAACAAAATGTTTATACCAAACCATTGTGTTCTTTCCTTGTCATAAAAACAGTGCTGGAAAGATGAGTAGGTGGGGATATTGTAGCTGTACTACCTTCCAGCATCAATCCTTCAGTTCATGTGAAAAATATCTCATATTATTATATATTATCTGCCCCAAAGATTGGTAGTTTCCATATAGACACTTTGGGCCAAGCCACTAAAAGTTAGCAAGGACCAAGAGCTCATCAAGTATTTGAGTTCTTATACACAGATACAACACGGCCACCAAAGAAGAGTGAAGAAGATGGGAAGGAGTATCACTTCATCTCAACAGAGGAGATGACAAAGAACATCTCTGCCAATGAGTTCTTGGAGTTTGGCAGCTATCAGGGCAACATGTTTGGCACCAAATTTGAAACAGTGCACCAGATTCATAAGCAGGACAAGATTGCCATCCTTGACATTGAGCCCCAGGTGAGTAGGCTTAAAAGGGAAGCAGCAATGGTTTCAGCCATGTAATGAGGGAAGTATAACTCGTAGAAATGTTCTGGGAGCTCAGGCTTGCTTCCTAAAGTTTTAGTGGGGTCAGCATGATACAATCAAATTGGCATTAGGATTTAACATTTATTAGAAGGAATACAACAGACAATTGGGTTGTTTCTCCTTATTCTTCCCTTTTCCTAGACCCTGAAGACTGTTCGGACAGCTGAGCTTTCGCCTTTCATTGTGTTCATTGCACCTACTGACCAGGGCACTCAGGTGGGAAAGTACCTCATGGGTAGAGGTCCTTCTAGGTCATTAACTTTTTTTCCAAGGCCAAGAAGACAAAGGGCAAGCGTATTTTACTCATTCAAGAGATAAGTTATTAAAGAATTCAAGTCTAGGCCGGGTGGTGGTGGTGCACGCCTTTAATCCCAGCACTTGGGAGGCAGAGGCAGGCGGATTTCTGAGTTCGAGAGTTCGAGGCTAGCCTGGTCTACAGAGTGAGCTCCAGGACAGCCAGGGCTACACAGAGAAACCCTGTCTCGAAAAAAAAAAAAAAGAATTCAAGTCTAGTAATAGTCCTGAATGATGCAGTTCTAATGGCTGAGATGGACAGTTAAATCCTGATTCTGATGTGATGGAGACTCATGTGAAGCAAACAGAGGGAGCTGTGAAGGACAGAAATAGTACTAGATCCACCACACGGTGCAGTGGGAAAGGAGCCTGCTTGTAAAAGTAGCTGTTTCCTCTGTAACACATCATAACATCTTAATTGCTTAACATTTTAGAATGGTATTTCACTTCACTTTGTTTTATTATAAAAGATTGCTTCTTATTCTTGAGAGTCACAATCCCAGCAATTGAGAGGTGAAAGGAGCTCCAGACTAGTCTGGAGTTCAAAGGCAGTTGAGTAAATAGCATTGCTTATGTAATCTGGCCATATCTTTAGCTCATGTTTCCACTGAGTTAGTGACTTCTAAGAATTCTATGATACTTCACTGTAATGTTACAAATATCCCCACCACCACTATGGCATGTATTTCGCTTTACATTTGCCTTTATGTAGTTAACTGACCATTGGAGCCAGAGGCCTGAGATGGTCAATAAACTTTCTCCTTATCCTTGAATTACAGTTCTTACTAAGTGGATGATGCTAGTGAAGCCTGTGCTAGGTAATTAGGATTTTTGGCATTCTTTAGTAGTTCTCAACCCCTTTAGTATCCAGTGTTCTTAATTGGTTATCCAGCAGATGCCAGGCTACAGGATGGATCACCACCATGGAAAAAAATAGATGGGGAACCAGTTAATGTAACCAATACTTGTTTAAATTTTTCCCTTGGCTGCTGTGATTTGGAACTGCTGCTTCATCTATGGCTTTCTTCTTTGCAGACTGAAGCCCTGCAGCAGCTGCAGAAGGACTCTGAGGCCATCCGTAGTCAGTATGCTCATTACTTTGACCTCTCTTTGGTGAATAACAGTGTTGATGAAACTCTTAAGAAATTGCAAGAAGCCTTTGACAAGGCTTGCAGTTCTCCACAGTGGGTGCCTGTCTCCTGGGTTTACTAAGCTTACAAAATTGGCAGCCCCTCCAAAGCATTTAGAATGCCATCACCTTTGCTTAAGCCAAAAGGGTTACTTCCCCCTCCTGCAGCCTGAGCTCCTTCGCTTTCAACTATAGAATGTCTTTTTACTCTGAAATAAGTATCTTCTGAAACTTTCAAACAACTGTGCAATAGAATGTATGCTGTAAGGAAACCTTCCAAAGCAATAAAAATGCTGCTGTGACTTGGCAACTCCATTCCCATCTGAACCACAATCACCTAAAGAGCCAAGCGTTATCTTCTTAAACTTTCCAAGCAACATAAAATCTCTGGGATTGCATTCTCTATAGGTCTCTAAGGGCTGGTGTTCACAATGCAGAAAGTTGTTTTCTCTAGGGATAAGTCACGGTGGGCACACTTTGTTAAGTAATAAGAGAATGGTTAAAAACAAGTTACAAAAGCAGGGGTTGTGTTGGGCACTCCATAGCTACCTATACCCAGGCTTAGACTTCTGTATTTCCCTTGAAACTTCTGCTTGTATTCTTGAGTTTTGGGACTCTCTGTCACAAGAGCAAACTGGCATTTTCCTACCTGGAATACCTACCGTGACACCTTCACAAGCCCACCTGACACCTAGTAAACTTTACAACGTATCTACCCGTTTTCTGAAGAACACTGGATTAGTAATGATCTCCCTTGAGAGCAGCTGAGTACAGTTAGGCTCCAATGCCAATGTAAGAAAGACTCAGAATTAAGAAATTTAATAGTATTCAAAGGAAAAGCAAATTCCAAATAGGACACAAACCCCAAATTTTTAATAAAAATATTCTCATTTTGCTCTGCCAGTCCAAGATTAAATCTAACAGGAATACTTTTAAAAGGCTACAAATTACATTCTCCCAGCAATAAACAATTCCATTCTTCAAAACAGAACAGGAAAGTATAGGAATGCTTTGGCTTCCATATAACAAACACAAGTAGCCATATGGAGTTGGAGAAATCCTGTTGTACACAACAATGCACAGAGTACCAGCCTAAACACCATAGACACCATGAGGCCAGCAAGGTCAATACCTAAATAGAACAGTCCTCACAGGACACTGAAGGTTCCATACCATTTTATTTAGCAGATTTAATTTTTACAAACTTTTTAAAAAGCAAAGTAGGAGAGAACTATCCATGGCATTGTTGAAAATGGTCATTAGTAAACAGCTACAGATAGTGCCATGTCTAAAGGTGTGGCTTCCTCAAGCAAGCAGAGGGGTTGGTAGCAAAGACCTGATTTTATCTCTCATATCCTTAAAACAGGACAGACGGGATGAGATGGCCACACCAGCTAACCACTGAGGTCACAAGTGGCAGATAGAAGTGTACAGAAGTTTCTACTCTGTTTGGGACCTCTGTTCTACTTACTCCCTTAACAAAAAGTTTTTTTTTTCTTTTTTTTTTTTTTTGGTTTTTCGAGACAGGGTTTCTCTGTGTAGCCCTGGCTGTCCTGGAACTCACAGGGTAGTCCAGGCTGGCCTCGAACTCAGAAATCTGCCTGCCTCTGCCTCCCAAGTGCTGGGATTAAAGGCGTGCGCCACCACGGCCCGGCCAAAAAGTTTTTTCAATAAGGCTTTTATTTTTCCTCCCAGCTGGACGTAATGCTTCAAGAAGTGGCTTATACTAATCTGACATCTCTTCCACCACTTTTACTTTCTTCTTCTTTTTCTTTTTGGTGGTGTCACTGTCCTAAAGAAACAGAAAGTAAAAGTGAGCTCAATGTACCCACTGACAAAACATTTAAGACTACTGTTCCCAAAAAGAAATCTGGCAAATTGCAGTGAATTGGGGTTACACAAATTTTGCTTGTGACCTTCTCAAGTGAAGCTTTAGAGATCTACTTATACATCTTTCCCACCCAGCAGCAACATAATTCAGCCATGATCCACTGTTCTAAAAATGCTGGATGCCCCTACTCTCTGTCCAAGATGGTAAATCCAGAACACAGGGCAGCACCAGAAGAGGCAATGGTAGGAACAATTGCACAATTCCTATGAAAGACTCAGCCAGCACAAAGGTACCCATGGTTCACACATACCCCATCTCCAGCCTCGCACCCACTTTCTAGCATAGTTTTTGGCTTTTTATCCTTCTTATTCTTCTTCTTTTCCTTCTTCAACTGGGGAACTGCTGGAGGGGTCTCATCACTTTCACTCTCACTATCCCGCTTCCTCTGAATAAAAAATAAAAAAAAAATTCATATGAAGTTATAAAATGAAGGAAGTTACCAAGAAAGACTCTAAGTATTACCAGTGGTTTTATGTCTATAAACTTGAGTAGTGCCTGATTTATTAAAGATTTGAAGACAGTATCTCACTAAATAAAAGTATAGTAAGCCACGGGGCATGATGAGTGTGCCAAAGCAGCGTTGGGTATAGAAGACCTGAGAAAGTGTCTCAGTGAACCAACTCCAAGGCCTAGAAGTGCTCCCTAAGGTGCTCTTTGACACCTTACAAGTTCCACCCACATAGCTCATTACTAGTCACTCAAGATTCTAACTGCAGACATACCATTTGGGGCTCTAATGACAGTGGTCCTCAGCCTTGGGAATCTAAGTTACTTCCACATGCTTCACTCTTGTCCTTTGAACAGTGAGTTAGCATGGACTGGAAATATTTGTTGGTGTCTGACAATTCTGTTCTTGCTGAATTTTTTGAGGCCTTTGCTTTCAGTACACTTATGCTACCTATCATTTTACCCAGGGTAGAGTCAAAATATATTTGACACACATTCCACAGAAGGTTATTTCCACAGTAGAGGTAGGAACCAAGGTAATTGATTCTTTTTTTTTTAGGATGATGTCTAATGGTCTCCAAGTGGGACCAAGTTAGTAAAATCATGTCTAAGAATGTGATTCTTCTTTAAGATTGATTTATGTGAGAATACCATTGCTCTCTTCAGATACACCAGAAGAGGGCGTCGATCCCATTACAGATGGTTGTGAGCCACCATGTGGTTGCTGGGAATTGAACTCAGGACCTCTGGAAGAGCAATCAGTGCTCTTAACCACTGAGCCATCTCTCCAACCCAGTAATTGATTCTTAAGACCATACTCCTTCTACCACAGATAGAAACACAAATGCCACTGAACCCAACAAACATCCTCAAGTATGAGATAATATTTGTGTGTAGATCACAGCATGGATGAGCCTGCCTTACTTGCTAGGAAATGTGGCTAGACTACCTTAAACACTGGTATAGCTTAGAATTATCTCTTGAAGCACACTTATTTGTTTTTGAGACAGGGTTTCTCTGTGTATCTCTGGCTGTCCTGGAATTCACTCTGTAGACCAGGCTTCCCTTACCTCTGCCTTGGGAGTGCTGGGATTAAAGGCATATGCCACCACCCCGCCCAATTTGAAGCACCTTTCAAACAGATCATGCCACTCACTTTTATGACGTTTACTGCTTCAGCAGCTAACTGAGGAGCTTGTACTGGTTCAGCAACCAGTGCTTTCTTGCCAGAATCACTGAAAGACAAAGAGGTATATGAAGTCAAATTCATAGAAGAGTTTTCCATGGTGGTCCTATTATATCCTATCATGTCCCTAGTTATTCAGTGATACTGGGCAACCCTAAAGCCTCCATTAAAACATTGATGCTAGACAGAAGAACCAACAGTTGTTTTGGCAGATTGATTATCTCCACAGTTCATGCCCTTGACTATTAGTAGTTACTAACTGACCCAGGTCTCAAAAGAGCCAGGCAAGGGAAAGACTGAGCTGCAGCATTAGGGCCTGTGGATTTAGCAGTTGACACAAAATAAAACTTTCCATCTCCCCTTGGCTGTGCAGCTTCCTGTCCTACATGTACTCAATAACCAAATGATAAGTGTACCACATTACCCCAGTCCCCCAAAACCCCATCCTTACCACCTAGGCTCAGATCCAGAACTTTTGAGTTGGTCTACTTCAACCCCATCTATGAACTACTGCTGCAGCATGTGAAAGGGCTGGTCCTACACAGATCCAAAGCTGCAGGATCTCCATGATACAAGAAAACAGGATATCTGAGAAGAGTCCCAGTGAGGATCCAATATTTGTAGTATAGCAGAAACCAGAGGCCTCAAACCAATCTATGACTCATTGCAAGTAAAGATGTGTGGACAAAAGGGTATATACTATGTGACACACTATAACACACTACAGCTTCCAAAACTTTTCCTTTTGGGGGTAGCAGTTGCCTCGGGCAGTGGGTGGATATGAAGGTATGGGGTGATAAGTAGGATTTGGGTGCATTATGTGAAATTCCAAAGAATCAATACAGTTAAAAAAAAATAAAGACAATGAAATAAATAAACTCCACCCTTACCTATAGTCAATGTAATCCTGTTTCCATGTGGCAGGGGTATTGTCTGTGGGTTTGCCATGCTTGTCCAGAAGGCCCTGCTTGATCATCATCTTCTTCTGACTTGCCTGGAAGCATTTCAAATGTCAATACAGGAAGTAGCCATTATGATTATAGACTACTGCTTAGACCTAGTCTGCATAGACTGTCACAGTATATACTCTCAGCAGGGCTTCATGCCCCTTATAAAACTGAATCTTTTCCTCTCCTCTTATCCTCATCAACCTCTAACCTATTTTCCACAATGGCTTAAGTGAAAAAAATCTTGCCCAGATCCACGATGGGGTTAAAACTTTCACTATGGATAGTCCAAGAACCAAGAAACCACTCCACATCCTTGACACTCATAGTTCACAATCCCAGTGTGACTAAATAATGCCCAAAGGTGTCCCTAAACTAGAGTGAGAATCTCTGAAGTTCAAGACAGGGCATGCCTCTGCTCACCGCCAATAATGTAGAGCTTCAAATAATAAATGGCTATGGCAAACAAAGAGCTGCATTTGTTGGTACTTATTAACACAAATATATAATATATAGGGCTTCAACCTAGTATCACTGACCTTTGGACCTAAACCCCACTTTCGAGGATAAGTGTCTCTTTCCATGATCACCCTCTTTATCTTGGCTACTATACCATGGTCACAGGTAGAAATCACTGCTGTAGTCATCAATGCAATTGCTGCAGGGATTAGAAAGGAAAAAAAGAATATTTTGGTAATAGATGAGTTCTACTGTTTTATGCCTTTTCAGAACTCTTCAAATCCTGAGCTCTATTACCTTAACTGGGCTTTCTTTTACTCTGGATGTATGTATGGAGAAATGTCTCCATCATATCAACAAGCATTTTAAATAATGTTAAAACTTACCAAACTAAAATACACTTAACAAAAGTGACTGAAGAAACACCTAACAAGAATGACACATACACCACCATCAGGTTTATAGAACATTTCAAGTTTTAAGAATCTGTTATGCTATATATCAGAATGGACCTTTCACAGGTATCTGCTCACAGAACTGATACAGCGATCCTGGTAACATGACTTTTTTTCTGGTGAAAATTAGGGTTATTAAATCAATAGCTTGGACTTATTGAAAAGGCCACAGAGCACTGTGAATTGTAAGGGATAATCAATCCAATAGTAGATAAACTTTTACAAATTAAGTCACTGATAACACCTGGTGGTAATAGTAATAGCTCATACCTTTAATCCCAGCACTCTGGAGGCAGAGGCAGAGGCAGGCAGAACTCCTGAGTTCAAGGTCAGCCTGCTCTACAGCCAGCACTACAAAGAGAAACCCTGTCTTGAAATACCAAAAACCAAATGTCACTGATACTCACTACAAGTTACTGGCCAGCAAGCCAGGAAATGAACTAAAGGCTCTCCTTTAATCATCACAGACAACCATTACTACTCTTACTTACTCTTGGAGTTTCACTAGACAGCCAAGAGCATATAAATGCATACTTCCTTTTTAATCTGTATTCAACTAGCCTCTGCTTTCATAAATTATTCATACAAATCCCAGGAGACACCATGATTATATAAAATCAAGGGATCCTGGCATGTAACTGGCCCACAATGAGCCTAGCTTTGATGATGCAGAGCCTCAGTTCCAGAAATAATGAGGGCTACTCCCCTCCTTACCCATGCAGATAGCTTCCCCCTTAGTGGTAATGACCACAATCTCCTGGTTGACTTCAATGCCATCCTCATATCGAAGAACACCGGGAAGCATGATCTTGGCCCCATAGCAGATTGCATTAACCTATGGAGATAACACCACACATGTGGGCCAGATGCTCTTCATTATCCCTTTTCCACTCCTATACCATAATAGAGGAAGATTATAAGGAGGAGGTAGCCTTATAATGGGAAGTAGGACTAATAACACTGATAGTCCACTGACTACAATGAAGTAAAAAGGGACATAGAACAGTAACAAAAACCTATCATGTGCTAGTATTGCTCTAAAAATTTCACATATGCTACAAAATACTAAAGAAAACTTTAAAGGTGACTCAGCAAATCTGGTGGCCCATCCATATTCAATCCCAAAACACACAAAAAGATGGAAGGAGGAAATGGGCTCCAGACAATTACGCTGAGCCCCAAAAATACATTGCAGCATGCATGTGCTCATACACATACATCACAACACATACATAATAAAAATTAATAAAATGCTTCCCATCCTCCTTCACTGAGCTATATAAATAGGTTATTAAACTCTAGTTTTATCATGTGGCCGGGAGCACTGTCATCTGGAACAATAAATCAAAACCTGGGGGATAGAGAAATAGTTCAGTGTAGTACTCTTACAGAGTACTTGGGTTTCTGAGCACCTATTTGTAGGCTCTCATCCATATGTAACTCCAGCCCGAGGGGGTATAATACCTGTTTTCTGACCTTTCTCGACAGTTAGGTATACATGTGGTATAGACCTACATGCAAAGAAAATACACAGAAAACAAAACAAACCCCATTTTGGGGGCCAGAGAAATGACTCAGCAGGTAAAGGTACTTGGCCTAATGCCTGACTATCTGAGTTTGATCCCTGAAACACACATGGTGAATCGAGAATCAACCCCTACAAGTTATCTTTGACCAACCTCCATATGCATATGTGCACACATATATACAAATAAAAATGTAATTTCTACAAAACCCAAAAGCTGCCTCAAGAGTCTTCTATGAGAGTGTTCCAGAGAACTGCTCTTGAATCTTTTTCAGGAAAATATAGTGCACTTATTAGAGATGAAGCAATAAACCGACACTCAAAGTATCTTGCTAATTAGACCAGGCCTGCTAAATCACATTCATGCTTAACAAGATCTCTTACTATGTTCTAACTTCTCTTTAAAGTCACCCAGAAGTCAACAGTCTGATCCCAGCACAATAAAGGTACATCACATTTATATGATTATATGGTTAAGCTTTCTTAGTTCCTGTTAGTGTCACACGTTAGTATACTTCTTCAAATTCTGAAAACTACAAAGTTTTCAGAAGACTTACACGTATTTTGATTTAAATATATACATAAATATCTAACCACAAACTGATACACAAACAGAAATTTATCTATCAAAAATCCTATGCCTACATAATATTTACTTACATTTTAGGACTATTTCTGATTATAAGGTAATATAGTAAATATAGGATATGAGCTAATAATGAATTCAGTGAAGTCTGGATTAGTGTCCCGAATGATAATGTGCTTCAACAGAAGCAGCCTTTCATTGAACTCTCTACAGGGTAAGTAACATACCTCTGAAATCCAGACCCAACCTTTACCTATTGAAACAATTTTTTATATTAACTTAAATAAATCAAGATTATTTTAGGCACAGCCAGAAGCAACAAATTAAAGGAGGGTAGATTCTAGTTATCACTGGTAGTTTAATATTTTAACAAAGTTGCTTGTTTAAACAGAGTTTACCTTATTTAAAAATACATGTAGACCTAGCACTATTATATTTCTTTAAAGTGATATACCTGGTTTTAACCTAATTTAACAAATCTAGCAGTAAATTTTTCCACTATTAATGGCACAAAGAGAACATATACAATTAATGGGGGAGGGGAATAACTACAAGGAAAATAAAAATATGACAAATAAGATTTCACAATGCTAGCATCTCAACTTTGGAGACACATTCTCTGAAAACATTGACTTTTACCCCATAACTTACTGCACTATCTTTCATAACCAGACGTTTATGAGATGTCAACAGCTTTTCCAAAGGATAAACAACACGCCGCAAGTAACTTTCATCCTTATGGTTATCATACAGCCACTGAGCATCAAGTACATCATGCATTGTCACCATGTGGTCCTGAAAGGCAGTAAGATATTAAATTCTGGGTCTTCATACTATATATCTATCCATCAGACTCCCAAACTTTTTACAACTGAATATAACTATACACTGTTTTCTAGTCCAGGCTCAACATAAGCCTTTAGAATCTCCTTTAAACTATTTGTACATGTTGACAAAAATAAAAAAAAAAAAGCAGGCACTCCATTTTTCTGTACTGCTTGGGATGGAACCCATGTATTTACAAAAATGGTTGCCAAGTGCTCTAACACTGCGTAACACTCTTGAGCTCTAAGCAAGATTGGCGTAGTTAGAATAGGAAATGTATGAACAGAGTAATACTCTCTACTCAATAATTTCTTTGCCACTTTCAATGTCCCAAAGTTTAATTAACAGAACATGAAAGCTACCCTGAACACTAAATGAAATCTTTCCTAAGACAGAGTCCTACATACGGTTTCTAAAGTCCTGAGTCCAGATGTAGCGGTACACAACTTTAATCCCAGCACCAAGGAGATAGAGGTAGGTGAATCTGTGAGTTTGAGGCCAGCCTGGTCTACAGAAGGAGTTCCAAGACAAACAGGGCTACACATAGAAACCCTGTCTCAAACAACAAAACAACAATAACAACAATTAAAAAAAAAACACAAGAAAAAAAACCAAGCCAGGCGGTGGTGGTGCACAGCTTTAATCCCAGTACTTGGGAGGCAGAGGCAGGCAGATTTCTGAGTTCGAGGCCAGTCTGGTCTACAGAGTGAGTTCCAGGACAGCCAGGGCTACACAGAGAAACCCTGTCTCGAAAAACCAAAAAAACAAAAAAAACAAAACAAACAAAAAAAACCCACAAAAAAACAAATACCAGACCTCTAGCCCCACAACTGCATACCTTCTCACTCATGACTCCAGAACGCACCCTCCGAAGTTCTTGCATCTGACCACCAACTCCTAGCAACAAGCCAAGGTGCACGCATAGTGTCCGAATGTAGGTGCCAGCTTCACAGCTCACCCAAAAGATTCCTAAGACAAACACAAACACACATAGAGAGACAGAGACAGAGACAGAGACAGAGACAGAGAGAGAGAGAGAGAGAGAGAGAGAGAGAGAGAGAGAGAAAATACATGATTTCTTTCCCAAACCCTGGGCATGGCAGTGACTGACTTTAATCTCAGGAAGCAGGGACAGGTGGATTTCAGTGATTTCAAGGACAGCTTGGATTGCAAACATAGCAATAACAGAGCTACATAATGGAGAGACCCTATCTAAAACAAACAGAAAGATTAGAGTTAACAGACATAGGGAATAAAGTATGACTACACAATGTACTCAGGGTTAGGTTTCTACTCCTAACAACAGAACCCTTGAATCCCCACCTGTTTGTGAGTCTAAAGCAATTCAGCTTAATATATATAATGACTCACCTAATCTTCTTTCAGGATCATATTCTATCATTTTGCTCTCATAGATAGTCCTTACTCGAAGCTGCCTCTTTACTGCAGCAATAAGTGGGGGTCTCTGAAACAGTGCACCTGTCAGAGTTTCTAGGGCCTAAGAATAAAGCACAAACAAAAAAAATTATGTGAGCTCACTTTTAAATAAGACAAAGGGGCATATTTAAGGGAGTTTAAGAACCTAATTCAAATACAAAGTTTTCTTTCATAAAATTAAGACCTAAAATGCCCTTTAGTTCAATTTCTTCTTTTTCAGCTACTAATCAGAACTTTCTTCTCAGAAAAAGCATGGCTAGAAGGCATCCCTAACACCAGATGTTCTCCACCCAGGAATATAGGACAGCCCATTCAAAGAGCACAAAAGACACTAGCCAGGAAAACTGGTATCCTCCCTACAAGTTATAGACTTACCCTAGAAAGCTGAGTACCCCCTTCAATAGCATTGTGCAGCCGGACAATTCCAACATACTCTTTGCCTGAAAAAATGACAAAAGAGTAGTCAGGTATGGCCACTGAGTTTTCTGTTTTACAAATGTTATATCACTGCCATTTTACATGGCAGAAGCAGTAGGGAATCCAATGTCTGTTTCAGTAAAATCTGTACTGACAGACTTAATGTTGTACATAGAGAAAAGAAATAAACACTTTTTCTTGGGTCAGGAATAGCACATGCCATGCTTATAACCTAAACCCAGAAGTTTAGAGGCTGAGATGGGATGATTGAAAGTTCCAAAGCAGCATAAGCTACATAGCAAAACCTTGTCTCATACTTTAAACAGAATTTTCTTAGATGAAAATAAGGGAATGACACTTGAGATAGAAACATGAGTAAGCATGCTAGGCTGTGGTAGCACACTGCCTTTAATCCCAGCACTTGGGAAGCAGAGGCAGGTAGATCTGGCCAGCCTAGTTGAGAGTTACAGGATAGCCAGGGATACACAGAGAAACCGTGTCTCCAAACACAACAAAGAGCAGCACCAGCAAGCATACAACTGATAGCCCCAGCACTAGGAACAAGATAGTTGGTTCAATATCCACATGCTTAGTGTCTGGAACTCTTAAAGAAAGCCCAGATTTTGGCAGAGAATTATACAGAAACCAATTCATACTCCTGCTTTAAGATTTTATTTTCTAAAGAACAATTTCTAAGAGCCAAAATGTAGTGAAACAAGTACAGACAGCCCCTACTCTCTCTTCTACATACCTGCACTCTGTTGTGATTTCACCAAACGAGTGGCTCGTTCAATGCACACAATTAAACAACCAGTCACTTTGGGATCCAGTGTGCCACTGTGGCCAGTCTTCTCTACCCGAAGTATTCGCCGGATCCAGGCTACCACCTCATGGGAAGAGGGGTTAGAGGGCTTGTCAAGATTAATGAAACCTGTCCTAGAATAGAAAAAAAAAGTAATCACCTGTCCTTGTCTTAAAAAAAAAAACCAGCATGAAGACTTAAAAAGAAAAGCAAATCACATATATAGGTTATATATTCAGGGCAAAGCTGTTCTAAGCAGCCACTACTTCCTTGAATTACTAATGTGAGAGCATCAGTTTCAAAAGAATTTAAGTTTGGACAGAGCTTTTTATGCCTACCTGATATAGTCTCCAATCTCCCTCTTCAGAGGATTTGAACCACAAGGAATAGGTGTATAGTGTGTTGTCCTTACATTTAGCTTATCAAAATTCTAAAAAGCAATAACATAAGCTTAATAACACATCAATAGAAGTAAAACAAGAGTCAGTAAATATCACCACCAACCACTGTAGCCCTTCAAGCCCATTAATGTATTTTGTTCCCATTATTTATAATGACACAGTAAGCTTTCCTACATACTGGGGATAATTCCAGAGAATGATAATTAGAATGATAATAATGAGAAAAGGACAAATTTGAGTACTCATAGTCACTGCTCTAAAAAGAAACTTGGCGAGGGTACTATAAAACACAGAACAGCTCTTGACTTTCTCAGATCTCCCAAATTAAAGATGGCTGGCAACTTTCTTCAACATGGCCAGCTTGGATCTTCTATTCCAGATACCTCTGTAATTCATTTGTACGTCCCCTTTTAGACTCCTGTCTAAGGCTTGGCCACCAGTTAGTAAGAATTTACCAACTGGGCTGGAGAGATGGCTCAGTGGTTAAGAGCACTGACTGCTCTCTCAGAGGTCCTGAGTTCAATTCCCAGCAACCACATGGTGGCTCACAACCATCTGTAATGAGATTTGATGCCTTCTTCTGGTGTGTATGAAGACAGTCTATTCACATACATAAATAAATCTTTTAAAAAATTTCACCAACTGATGCTCATCTTTCATTATCAGTTTAGTTTTATTATACCTACTACAAATAACAATACTTGTTTGTCTCTCCCATCTCTGTTAAGATTTCTCATAGCAGAGACCTTGTCTACCTTGTGTGCTAGCTATTTTTCTAGGGCCAACATAAGAAACACAGATGCCAACCAAATAACAGTGAATTATAATCAAGCAGAAAATCAACTTGGCTGAATGATATAAACTAATTTATTTTACCAACAAATACATATGACTTATTAAAATTCTTGGTCAGGTCAGTGAGATGGCTCAGTGGGAAAGGGTGCCTGCTGCCAAGCCTGACAATCCAAGTTCAACCCCAGGAACTCACTGTAACTCACTGCACTTGAGAACAAACTTTGCAAGTTATCTTTTGACTTCCACACGCATGTCATGTGGAGCATGCATCCTCCCCCTCCTATTCCACCCACCCACTGTAGTAGAGGGAATCAATATTTTAAAATCTTCTTTATTAGATGTCTCAACTTTATAGCTGGTATCCACTTTATGGAAATTATAAATTTTAGTTCAATGCATTACTCAGTACCACTACTTAAACCTCTAAATAACAACCTATAATTTCTATGACATGCAACCAGGAACTACTAAGCATGCTTCATAAAATACCTGCTATAACTCCCAGCACATCATCCTAAGAGAAAATATCATGAACAACTAATAGATTCAGTGAGGTTAAAAGATTGGCCCAGGGCTGGAGAAATAGCTCAGCAGTTAAGAGAACTGACTGCTTTTCCAGAGGTCTTGAGTTCAAGTCCCAGCAACTACATGGTGGCTCACAACCATCTGTAATGGAATCCAATGCTCTCTTTGGGTGTGTCTGAAGACAGTTACAATGTACTCACATAAAAGAAATAATTGTTTTTTTTAAATAAAGACTGGCCCAAGGTCACATACAATCTTGATTCAAAGGTGTCTGTCTTCAAAATCCATGTTCTTAGGCACTGAAAGTCTACAGGAGTTGATTTCAGAAGTGCAATTGTCTAAAAACTGACAGCAATTAACATTTTGGTAATATAGTCCATGTTACATCATTTGAAGTTTTCTAAATGAAAAATATGCTGGCAGTAAGCATTCCTTTTTTTGAGACAGGGTCTCTATATAAACTAGGCTAGCCTGGTCCATTGGGATAAAAGGCATGCAACACAACACCTCAGCCCAGCAGTAAGCATTCTTTATTATTAGCTTTTTCATTAGAAAGAATATGGAATTCAAGCATTCATCTGATACAGAGAACATAACATACCTTTAGTAACAAGGGCCACTTCGAAGTGTCTAATTGAGCCACTTTGGATTCTGGCTTGATAAGAAATTCTTCAGCATGTTGTATTTCCTTCAATAGAGCAGAAACATTTTCTCAGCTAATTTTGGAAGTGCATGCTTTTTAAACAAATATGAGGAAAGGAGGGGTGTTATTTCTGAAACCCAGGTCACTGAACTTTAGAAACATCAAGTTGAATCCAAATATTTTAACAAAACCATGGGTCTGCTGATCGAATAAGGAAGAGAAATTCAGGGCCAACATCTCATCATTTAGTATGCCACACATGCTAGAAAATTTCTCTGAGAGTTGTGTGATTTCAGGTTTTTGCCCATTCTACATAATGACCACTAAGTAGTAGCATACTGATTGAGAATATTTTAAAACATTTTCCCCCTTTAATGAGTTGTTTATTAAATTATCTAAATCAGTCAAAGCAAAGTAAAACATTCCTACTCACGGCTACATCATCTTCTTGTAATGGCTTCCGGTCTTTTTTCTTCTTATGCTTCTTTGGGAAAGTAATTACTACAAGGAACAAACTCAAGATTTCAAGATTTTGAAAACTAAAACCAAAGATTAAAATTAACTCTAAAATCAGGACAAAGAAAACATTTTTAAGTCTGACATTACTGGAGAGAACTTACGTTTGTGAGGCCAAACACTAGGATGGCTTGGCTGGTAAATGACTCTAACACGTGTTGGCTTCCCTTCGGGTTCTCCACGTGGCTGTGGCAAGGCCAAATATTACTTAGGGAAGCACTTGTCCACAGGCTGGAAAGTTTCACAAACGACCACTGCACCATCCATAAGTGCTTGTGATCTCTTAAAAATTTCTTGTAAGTTTGTGTTACACTTGTTCTTAACTCCTCTGATCCTTTCCTTCCTAACCCTTGCTCTGCACCTTTGCTACCCTCATTTCCATAATGTTCTGTCTAGAGCAGGCAGAAATGCTACCGCGACTCCATATCACGACAGAGTCGCCGCCACGGCTGATGCCTTTGGAAGGGGACCCGGGTAGAGTCTTTAGCGCGAGGCCGGGACCTAATGAAGCCTAGTCACTGGTCTCGAACACATGCATTTACCGGTAGAGCCAGAGCCGAGTGGTGAAGGGGACAAACTGTGAGCGGGAACACGCGGAACCGCGGGTCAGGATGCAACCTCACTATAACTAACTCCGGGTTGCGCGTAGGAAGCCCCACAGGTCTCATGGCACAGCCACTCGTACCCCTTACCTTCTGCATCCGCCATCTTGAACCGCACCGCGTGCGTCCCGCCCAAGCCGCCACAAGCTAAGAGCTGCAGACTTCTGTGGTCTGAGACCGGCCAGGACGCGCCACTAGGACCCGCCCACCGTTGCACCTCCCCTAGCTTGCTGATACAAGAAAAGGGAAGTAGAGGGGAGGATGGCGGGGAAGGCGGGGACGGGAGTCTCCAGGAACGCGCGGACTGTCTGCTCAATCCCATTGGCTGACTCTGCCACCGGAGGTGCGACCGCACATGCGCCTGGAAGCTCCCCCCCCCCCACTCCTCCCCCACACTGCCACCCCTTAGCGAAGCGCCTTGGAACCTTGGAGAGGCGTCTGCCGCAGCAGTCTAAAGCGGGTGGGTGTGGCCTGTACTGTACTGTCCTCCAGTCTATCTTCAGCTTCAGCACTTGTACATCCTTCTTAGCGCTCTATAAATAGTAGCTGGTGCTAACTTACACAGACACTTTCTGTTTGCTATCATGTCAGTTTCAATTGAAAAAGACATTGAGGTAGACAGTGTCAAAGTGAGAGCGGCTTACTCCTTGAAATTCGTATTAAGTTATGGCTGTATTGGCCAATAGGAACTGAGTGGGAGCCTCGTGTAGACTTTTAAATTTTCTAGCAACTACCTACATCAAACTAAAAAGGTTGAAAGTGATTCTAGTAATTAATTTTACATAACTCTGCAGATCTGGGATGTCATTTTAACATGGAAGCAATATGCAGCATTGTGTAATGTTTAACTTTTTTCTGTATGAAGTTTTTTTCCAGTGTGTGTTTCACACTTAACCTGTACACTTAAGTTCTAATTCCACAGCCGGTACATCAAGTCCAGAGCTCTAGTGGCTGAGATATGTAACAGCCAGAAAGTAATAACTCCAAGATTGAGCCCTGACTTTTGTCTAGTAGACTCTTCTGGCTGTTAATCCAAGCTACTGCCTTTCAGATTAAATCTCTGGAATATCCTCCACCCTGTTTCCTATTCTACCTCTGTAGATTCTTTTGGCTTTCTGGATACATAACCTATCTCTAGTGAATTTATTAGATCATTAGTTATCTAATACTTCATCATAGATGGAATCATTTGCCAATAGTTTTTCAGTTAGTTGTTGCTGACAAAAAATAGTATTTATTCTTTTTCTTCTGAGCTACAATGCTAAAATCAGATTTTTTTTTTTTACTATGACTTACAATGGGTTTTCTCACCCAGTTGTTAGTCTTTGTGGAATTCATTCTGTTAATAGTGGTAATGATCAGAATTGACTATTTACAGATAAGACCTTTAGAATTAACTATTATTTTCTAATGATCCAGTGATAATTATTTGGCTGAGTAAATCTGAAGTCCTCATTTGCCATTTCTCCACTGGATTCATCTTTGTCCTGTATCTATGCTCAGATCTTTTAGGAAAGAATTTAGCTTTCAGAGAGTTCCAGAATCTGTTGGCTTTTCTTCACCCTTACTTCTATAACCATCATTATAATGTTTCTATTTCTCCAGTAGCTTCCTGCAGTCCCACCTTTTTCTACTTTTCCTAAATTGTCTTTTTGTTTTGTTTTGTTTTTCGAGACAGGGGTTCTCTGTGTAGCCCTGGCTGTCCTGGAACTCACTCTGTAGACCAGGCTGGCCTCGAACTCAGAAATCCGCCTGCCTCTGCCTCCCAAGTGCTGGGATTAAAGGCGTGCGCCACCACCGCCCGGCTTCCTAAATTGTCTTAACAAGCAGCCTGAAAGTACCATTAAACTTTTCCTATCTATGCTTGAAATACTTTTTAAGAGTTGGTGATAAGGCTGAACAGTGAAGTGCTTGCCTAGCATATTGATCATCAGTATTACAAATAAGTAAGTAAATAACAAAAACAGACAAAAATTGAGTCCTTTAAGATTTCTTGTCTTCAGTACTGTGGAAGACTAAACTTCTGGGGTTTAAGTCACTTAATATAGCTGGATGTGGTAACACACACTCAGGAGGCTGAGGCAGGCAGATATCTGTGAGTTCAAGGCCAGCCTGGTCTACAGAAGGAGTTCTATGTCAGCGAGGACTACACAGAGAAACTCTGTCTGAAAACAAAAACAATAAAATAAAATAAAATAAAACCCAGAAAAACAAAAAAGAAAAAGTCACTTGTTCTTTGAGTCTCATACTGTAGCCCTGAATAACCTGGGGCATGGTTTATAGCTCTGGTTAGCCTTGAGCTCAGAGATCTGCCTGACTCTGCCTCTAAACGCTTGTCCCAATATGACCAGCTGTTAGTATTCTGTTAAACTCCACCTCCACAGTTATCTGGCAACACCCAGGTATGCTCCTCCCCACAGTTACCTGGCAACGGCCAGGTAGTCCTGCCCACTATAAAAGGGGCTGCCTGCCCCCTCCTCACTCTCTTGATCCCTTGAACCCACACCTGCAGGTTCCCAGTCCCCTCTCCCCTCCCACTTCCCTTCCTCCTCTCTCCACGTGGTCATGGCCGGCCTCTACTCTCTACTTCTCTGCTCTCTCTCTCTCCTCTTCCCTATCTCCTGAATAAACTCCTCCTCATGGAACCGTCCGGTCTGCTGTGATCTGTCCAAGCTGTGCGTGAAAATCTTTTCACCAGCTCTACCTAGGGTTTTTTAAATGACAGAAATTTTCTGAAAATGGTATTATGATTATGGTTGTGACAGACTCCCTGGTAGGCACACTGATAGGAAGAGGGGCGTGCCAAGGTAATAAAGGAAGCAAATCTCCAAGATGTCCAGCTTCTTTTTCCTCACATTTCTGACTGGAGACAAAACCCTGACAGCTTAAAACAAAGGCTTTGTAGGTTTTTGCCTCCCACCAGGAGGCCCCCTGCTGATGGACTGGTCAACAAATTCCAGGCAAGACCAAGACAAGCCAAGTAACCATTGCAGACCAATCAACCATCCAATCTTTCTTTAAACCAACTATAAATTAGGCAAGGAAAACTCTTCAAAGACTTAAAACAAACAAACAAACAAATAAAACCTAGAAGCAGCCTGGGGAAGAGACTGGAATTTTTGGTTTCCTAATCTTCCCCAATTTCCAGGGAATCTTTTTCTCTGTGTTTTCTATATCTGCTGCATGTATGTGTGTGTTTCCTAACACCCAATAAATTCCTTTCTTCGACTGTTGTTCTATTTGCCAGTGCATGAGATTTTTCCACTGCCACCTGCTGTGCTTCAGATTTTTCTGCCTTTTAATTCTTTAACTGGCAGAGAAAACAAATTCGATCAGTACCTCTAGATTTTATCAGTTACACAAGATTTCAAGAATTGTAGAATGTTATCGTTATCGATGTTTTAAATAATTTAAGTAGCAATCCAGTTTGGTTCAGGCTATGGAGAGAATTTCTGTAACCATACTCAAGGGCTCACTTGCCTTTTTAGAGCACAAGGCTTGTATTTTGATTTACTACTATTCCAAATTATATATAAAACTCAGTGAATTTATAGCCTTGTTGATTCTCTACCAGAAATCAAGGACACATGGGAAGATTGGGAGTTAGCATGTTCCCTACTGAGCCTCCATTGTTTGAGTAAACAATGTTGAGTGAGTGGGTGAGGAGAGCAAAGAAAGGAAAGATCATTCTCCTCTGGCAGATTTCTCAAGCCAAGAGTTAACCTCTGCTTTGCCCCAGGACACAATTTAGAAACATAGAAGCTGCAGGAGAAAAATAAATGTGTTTGAAAACAATCCTAAGAGTTTGTAAATGTGTGTCTCTGCACAGGAAAACAACAAATCCAGTCTCTTCTCGAAGACTCAGGATTTTAAAATCTGAAGTTTCTCTACCCTAATTTAGAGTTGGTCAATTTGAAGAAAGATTTGCCCCCAACTGTTTTGTAGCAAGTCTTGAACCAGCCTTGAACTTGTTGAGCCAGTCCACCAGCAGGGTCCTGTAGGTGGGAGACAAAGGCTTACAAGGCCTTTGTTTTAAACTGCTAGGCCTTTGTCTCAAGTCAGGAGTGTGAAGAAGAAAACAAGCCACCTTGGAAATTTAACACTTTTGTTGCTAGTCATGGACCCTCTTCCTATCTGTGTGCCAAGAAAGATATCTTAACTCCTAGTTCACCAGATGCAAGAATAGAAACCCTGACTAAGACATACATACTTTCAGATTTTGATTCCAGACTATATTTCTATATGCTATTTTCACCACAATTTGGCCAGTCTAAAACAATATTCCCACAGTTATTTGAGAAATCATCACTGATCATGGATGACTGCTTCTGACCAAATCCTTTACTAGTTATAAATGCTATCATATATCACTACTTATCGATGGGGCAATTTCTTTTTGCTGTTAGACAAATTTCACAGAATGCACTTATAGACATCTACACCTAGAAAGTATAGGTTACTTACTGTATGGTCCCCTGATACAATCACAATATGAATAAAGTTTATAGTAAGCTTTCAAAATAATGTTAAAAGTATAGTACAGTAAAAACATGATCTGCCAGGCGGTGGTGGCACATGCCTTTAATCCCAGCACTTGGGAGGCAGAGACAGGCGGATTTCTGAGTTCGAGGCCAGCCTGGTCTACAGAGTGAGTTCCAGGACAGCCAGGGCTACACAGAGAAACCCTGTCTAGAAAAACAAAAACAACAACAAAAAAAAAAACAAATAAATCCTTTATGATCAAGTATGTATTGTATGTAATTGTCTGTGCTATACTTCAGTGCCTTTGGCCCTGATGTAGAACTGTTAATGCCACCATCACCACAAAAAGGTGATTCATGTATTACTTTATGAGATCACTAGGTAATAGAAAATTTCAAGTTCCATTATGCTCTTTCATGTGTGGTACATGTGCGGGTGTACACATGCTTTGAACTTATAATGGGTTGTCTGTAGTCTAATTTTTCACTGTGTAGTACAAGGCTTAAAAACTGACTGTTAGAATGTAGGACCGTGAAAGACACCTGATTTCTGGTCAAACACAGTCTAGAAACTGCCAGAGACCCCAGGTGATCCTGAGGGACCCCAGGTGTGACGCAGGTGACCCTAAGGGGGCGGCATGCGTTTTGACA